GGTTCTCTGTGCCTCTGCAGACCACAGTCCTTCCAGAAGCTCTTCAGGGAGGGGAGCAGTTCCCAGTTTCCAGCTAAAGGCCTGATGGGAAGGGACATTGGTGTCCAGTCTAAATCCACTGAAGCCAATCAAGTCGTGTAACCTTTTACTGCCTCCTTACCCGGCTTCATCCGCTAACATTTCAAACAACAACAAGGACGTGCTGAAAGCCTCACCTTGGAATACATTACAGCTCGGCTTATTTTGCCCAGGTGTCTGGATGGGACAGTCCAAAGCAGGGATTCACTGTCCTGACACACACAGCATGCGGCACAGCATGCGGGGTTACCGGTCACTCTGCCCTCGCTGCTCTTTTAATTATTCCGCTTGTATGTGTGTTTTAAATTCCAAGAGCGAGCCTATTCTAGTTCATTCGTTTATTCATTGCTCAATGGACACATTGAGCTTCCAGAGCCCTCTTTGAAGGGGGCCTAACAGCAGCACCTCCCTCACAGAGTGGTTGTGAGGCCCGGAAGGCGCTAACGTGTGGGAAGAGTTTAGCCCAGTACTCCATAAATGTTGCTTAACATTTAGCCGTGTACTGGATAAATATGGTCATGCAGACGCACCATGTACAACGGAGGCAGCAAAGAAGTCGTGGCAGACTCTGGGCTTCTGTTAGGGGACAGGAGGTCAATAGAAAGTCTCCTCCGAAGTCCAGCTGGGCCTGAGAGAAGAGGCCAGAGGGATGATATTTCTGAAGGAAGGAATGAATCAGAAAGACCAAGGGTAGCTACTCTCAGTGTGTGTGTGTGGGGGGGCCCTGGTGGTGGTGAGCAGTCTGGGGAAGGAAGGTCAAAAAATTCTGAGGTGAAGCCAGTAAAGGGTGTGTCGTTTCTAACCTGAGGAGTGATGGGGCCAAAGCAGCTGTCTGGAGAGTCAGTTTTTCCCTCAGTTGTCAACCTGTCCTACCATAGTCCACAGACCTACAACTGGGTTTCCACAGCTAGGCCTTCTGGAAAGATTCACAGGCTTCAGGGCTCAGGGCCAAGAACTTTATGGGGCAGATGAACAAAAGAAGGGAACAGTGAGCCTGAGAGTGGGGCTCTCGGGGCAGGGGTGGGGCGCTCTCTTTTAAAACCCTTTGTCCCTTTGCTCCCCTCCCACTAAGAGGTTTCTTTTTAGCGGCCACGTTTTTATGGGATGGTAAGTTTAGAAGAAGGTTACTTCTCCAAGGAGGCTGAGAAAAGAGGATCTGTTTCCCTTACTCTTGTGCCCTGGGGAAGCTCAGGGCCTGTGATGGAGGGGCCCGGGCTGCCTCTTCCTCTCATCATCCTGGGGAAGGACACATGGGCAATGACACAGCCACTCTTGTCTCTGTAACTTGTTGGTGCGTGGACTTGCCCTCAGCTCTCTGTGTGGCAATGGGTAGGCCTGGTGGCTTTCAGAGGTGGTTTTAGACTTTCACCAGGGTACTTTTTTTTGCTGTCCACAATCCCCCAGAAAACAATCATCTCTCCTCCTCGTTCCGCAGCTTTGAGCTGCGCCATCTCTGTGGGTTTTTTTCCTGCCGCAGGAGCCGGCTGCTGGGAAAGATGAGGGAACCGAAGGCTAGTGCAGCGTCAGAGGCTGGCGCTGTTCTAGAGATCAGCCCTGGGAGGGTGGACCAGCCCTGGGAGGGTGGACAGCAGGAGGAGGTGGGCTGGAACTGCAAATTCCCGTAGTCCTTAGAACTCAGGAAAATGGTTACAGCAATCTTCGGGTATCATTGTTGTTGTTGTTATGTGCCGTTGAGTCGGCCCCGACTCATAGCGACCCCTCCTTGGGTTTCCGAGGCAGTATCACTACGGAAGTAGATTGCCCCATCTTCCTTCCGAGGAGCGGCTGGTGGATTTGAACCGCCAGCCTTCTGGTTAGCAGTCAAGTGCCTTAGCCTCTATGCTACCAGAGCTCCCATCATAGGATTACAGAGAATCAAACAAAGGAAGCCTGGGAAGATTCCAGGTACAGCTAAAGACCGGCCCCTGGACCCCAGGGCCTAAATGAAGGGGCTCAGAAGCTTCTCTCGACTAAGCCTGAGTGGCCGTGCTGAAAAGGGGTGGAGTGGATTCTGGCATTCTCCGGAGGTTTCTAGCATGAGTCAGTAGGCAAGATTAGCTAGGGCCTGGGTGACAGCGTGCCTGGACCCTGATTCTAAAGTTTTGCTACTTTAGTCCTTTCCCACACCCCACCTCCTCAGAGCCTCAGCAGGAGGCCTAAAATCTTCCATATTCACTTTCCACCCCTTTGTTTAGTATTTTAGCATCTGTACTTCTTTCACCTGGTCTCATTTTTCACAGAAGGAAATTGTCACTGAGAATTTACTTGGGTTAGTGCCCAAGGTCACACGGTTATTTGTCAGTAGAGTCACCGCCAGAAACCAGAACCAGGAGCCTCCTATTTTTAGCCTGGGCTGTTTTGAGAGCCCGCAAAGGGGAGCATGAGATGTTCAGCTAAAATGGATTTGTCCTCTTCTATTTGTGTCCTTAGGCCCAAATGACGACTGGGTTTGAGACTGAGGTGCAGAGGAAAAAACAGGTTATGGAAGTAGCCGTAGAAAGAGCAGGTTTGATTAGATGTTAAGTGACAGAGAACATACATATGGGACAGGGAAAAGGTGACGTTTAGGAAAAAAAGTTTCACGTTTAAAGGATCCTTAGTTAAGAGAAGAGCACATTATGAAACGTATTAACCTCCCCAAAGAGCGCGGCAATTTCAGGCCATCTTGTTTATGTACGTTGTTGGACAGAGACTGCACAAAGAGGAGGAGGAAGGAATCCCGGATGTTATGGAGACGGCTAGTGAGTGTTTGTGATGCAAAAGATAGGAAAGATGAAGGGAGTAAGTGTCTGGGCTTAAACAGCAAAAATGGCCAACAAAATATAGATTTAGCATCTATAATTTTCTCTAAACATTTTTCACTTTAGTGACTGAGGAAAAAAACAATCTT